TCATCATCCTCCTCCTCCTCCTGGTCTGAGTTTAGACACAAACAGTGGATGAAGCTGAGTACAAACACTCACTGTGGCTGCTGTGATGCTTTCAGGTACCGTCAGGATCCCTGGCATCCCGTCACGCTGCCTGTGGACCTGAGCTGCCGTCACGTGCTGCAGAGACTCGTCCTGGTCTTCACTGACGCTGAGGAGCAGATCTGGGTTCTGCTCATTAAAGGTAACCATCAGATAAAAATCTGAAGACTAATTAACCGACCTGCTGCTCGTTAAGTGTCTCCAAGTCAAGTTTCTTTGTTTCCACTTAAATCTTTGTTGGCAGAAGAAATCTTCTCCTGTTGGTGGATTTATTTGCAGCTCAATTTTAGAAGCCATTTTGTGTCATGTATTCAGTCCCTTCTCCCAGTTTCATTACAGTTTTTCTTTTGGTCTTAAGATTTCTACGTTTATTAGCTGTTTGTCTGTCGCTGTACTGTTCCCTAATTATTCATAAAAGCTGTTTTTACTCACTGTCAACAGTCTTTAAACCAAATATCTGCTGCTTCTATCTCACTTCCTTCAGAGAAATTACAAATAAAGCACTAAACAACTCATCTGGGCTTTTTAGTTTAGTGTTCGTGTAACAATTGACAGCACATTTCTCAAAACACAGTCGCTGTCTGACATTTGGAGAAAAAAATTTAATCATTCTTCATCAAATGATCCAAACTCTGACATTTCTGACGTCTGTGACACCCACTGTGACGAGCTTGTTTTAAATCTTGGGGCACCGCAGAGCTCTGTGCTGTCACCACTGCTGCTTTCCATTAATAAAAATGAAATGACCGCCCACAGCAGTGATGTCAAGCTGTAAAAATATGCGGATGACAAGACTGTTGTTGGTCTTCTCCTGGAGGACAGTGTGATGTATGAACGGGTTACTTTAGCCAGGTCACTGTTCTTTACGACTGGTGTCAGGTGAGATAACTGGAGATGAATGTGACTGAAACAAAAGAACTTATAATACAAACTTGGGCACAATTACTGATCAGATAATAACCTAAAATGGAAATTCAGTCTCTGCAACTGTTGCTTTGGAGAAGATTACAACAACATGAACAGCAAACTCATCTGTGTTTTATCATCTGAAGCTTTGTGAACTAACCTCCCCTCCCCCTCTCCGTCCTGCAGCCCCGGTGCTCCACCTCCCCACGGCGGCGGCGGTGAAGACCCACGCGGTGACCTGGGCGACCAACATGGTGGTGCAGGAAGCCATGCCATCGGCATACTATGACCAAGACGTCAACACGCTGGGTGTCTTCAGCCTGCAGCACAATGGCCGGCAGCACGGGAAAACAGACGGCGTGTGCTTCAACACGCTGGTGGCGTTGGTGCCCGACCGCGTCCAGCGCAACGAGGATGGAGAGAAAGTGGAGTGGACGGGGACGGGACTGCCTCCGCCCGTAGAAAACCCGCGATACGTCTGGCACAAAATCCAGAAACAAACGTTGAGAGAGAAACTGCTGGAGAAGACCAAAAACACGTCCATCTTACCCGTTCACAGCCTGTACTGACCAAACACAGACCTACAGGACTCTTATCGTGAAAAGAACACGCTCTTATTCTGAAAGAACATGTCTTATTTTATGTGTCAGGTGGAGGGTAGAGTTTAAACGTGCACGGAGCAATAAAATATTGATATTTATGTCAGATTTTATAAGAAAGAGTCTAAATACGTAAAGGAACACTTTCAATTAAGACCTAAATATTTTGGGAAATACATTTATTCTCTCTTTACTAAGAAATAAAATGAAGGTATTTAACATTATATTATATTTTAAATAATATATAACCTAAAAAATACGGTCAGTGTGGAGGACTCAGCACCCAGAGCCACCCAACACAGATGCTTATCAGTTTTAGATGTGTTATATCATGTTCAGTTGAATAATATTGGATTATTTTCAGTCACTCAGAATAAAACAGATGATCTGCAGATTTACACATAAATATTTAATTTAAACTGTACTGTTTGTTTTTGTTGCTGCTGGTTACATTCCTCCTGATGGGAATTTAAAAAATGCACGACAGGGACGCACCACTGTTTGTTTGTTTATCTTGTGTAGCATAAAGAGACGACAGCTACATTTTGTTTCACAGCTCTGTGTTGTACAATGACAATAAATGAATGAACGTACGGCTGAAATGTTCTGATGTCACTATTTTTCTGACTGCTGAGATAAAAACCTGAAGTGTGTTAAGGCTGATTTATAGTTGTGTCAGCTCTATGCAGACGCTACACACGTGGCCTACGCTGTTGTGAGCATTGTGCGGTGGTGTGTCTGTGTCACTCTGCAGTTACACCTCCAAAACACAAGTTGGCGGCGGAGTTTCTGTGAAGTGCTGTAAAGTTTAGTTGATTCAAAACACACATTAAGCACACAAACACAAACACACATTAAACACATTAAACACACAAACACACATTAAACACATTAAATACACAGTAAACACATTAAACACACAAACACATTAAATACACAGTAAACACATTAAACACACAAACACATTAAACACACATTAAACACATTAAATACACAGTAAACACATTAAACACACATTAAACACATTAAACACATTAAACACAAACACATTAAACACTTTAAACACAAACACATTAAACACAAACACATTAAACACACATTAAACACATTAAACACAAACACATTAAACACACATTAAACACAAACACATTAAACACACATTAAACACAAACACATTAAACACATTAAACACACATTAAACACATTAAACACACATTAAACACATTAAACACACATTAAACACACATTAAACATTAAACACATTAAACACAAACACATTAAACACATTAAACACAAACACATTAAACACATTAAACACATTAAACACAAACACATTAAACACACATTAAACACAAACACATTAAACACACATTAAACACAAACACATTAAACACACATTAAACACATTAAACACACATTAAACACATTAAACACAAACACATTAAACACACATTAAACACATTAAACACA